CATACTCAACAAACTATTAAGCTCTTACCTGAGATGTTTTATATTTTTCTATATATGGAAACAAAATATGATTTTCCTAATTACATTAGAAATGAAGGCTGTTTACATCTGTAATTAAATCTAAAAAAAAATAATAAAATAAAGCTGATGATACTATGTAATTTCAATTAGATTGCAATTGTTGATCTGCTTCAAGTTGAGAAGAGAGCAGGTAACAATGAGTCATCGTCCATTGTAAGTATCTGGAAGGCTGGTATTTGCACTGAATAACATGTTGCCTTGAAACATAAGTGAGAACATAAATGCTTTCCTTCAGAAATAACTTGCCAATTTATTGGCTGCCTTATTCAAAATGTTTCAAACTAATTACCTGCTGGATAAATTAACTTCCAGTAAAAACAGGACATCTTTTAATTCTTGAATTTTAGCTGCAAAAAGTGGGTTGGGTAGGAAGGAGATAGATCATTTCTAATTTTTTTTTCAAAATTACAAGCAAAAATTATGCCATGATAAGACTAAATAGACATTATAATATTACATTTGTATTTTTGGCAATTATGGAAATGCTACAGTGATTTTATTAGTTTTTTATTCATTGTAAAATACATATTTTCTTGTTAATGCAGTTTAATTAAATACTGTGTTTTTTTAGGTTCCAATAAAAAACTGCATTAACAAGAAAATATGGAATTTTATTTAGAATTTTTAAATTTACTTTCATGCATTTTCTGATTTTATTGGTGCTCCATCTTAATGAAAATATGGCTTCCTCTGTTTTTAACTAAGATAAAAAGTATAAAAAACATTAATTATTTTTAAAATTATTTTATCAATTAATTATACTAAGACTATACTGATTTACCATATGAGGCAGTTGCTGAAAAGTTCTTGGCCTTACCTACTTCCCAAAATATGACCAAACATCAGAATTTGTCTGGGAATCCATTCTGGATGCATCAAGAACTTTTCAGCATCCCTTTATACTAATCATATTGGATGTTTCTATGAAATAACTGTTTAATAAAGTTAATATTTCATAAGTGAAAAGTCCCTGAAAAACAGTTTCAAATTGAAAATGTTTACAGTTTTGATCATTGACAGAAACAAATGTGTAGAAATTTTTGTAAAAATTTAAAAAATGAAATGTGATTGTTTCTTTCAACATTTAATCTTCAAAAGTGAGAGATAAAAAAAATTGAATATTTTTTTACATTCTGTATATATAAATACAAAATACTTTGGAATTGAATGCTTTTTATAAAAACCTTTTAGATTCATTAAGGTTAATATTTGAATATAGCAATATTGATATTTTAGAATTTCTTAAAACCTGATAAAATCTTAAAAGTGAAATCTTTTTAATTGTGTTAACTTACAATATGACAAAAAAATGAATGGATTTTTTTTTTTTTTTAAATATAGGTTCATTACATATCAGTAAAGTTTTTAGTGCTACAAAATCTTCATTCTATTTATTTTCTAAAATTTTTTTTTTTTTTTTTCTTAAGAGAAATTTGCTTTTGGTATTGAAAATATTTAATTCTTAAAGTTTTTCTTTTATTCTCTAAATTCTGAGTTTCATTATTTTTTTCTTCAAGCAAAAGTATTTTTGACACAAGCTCATTACTCATAATTTTACGTTATTGTTCAATATTCTTGTTGCAAAAAATTATCTGACTTTATAAATGGTGTTTATATTTTTAAATTTATTCTTGGTTATTGGAATTGTCTATTCTCTTTTAAATTTTCTTATTTGTGAAAATAAAAATTTTCCTAATAAATTATCACTTTGATTTTGATTCGCTATCATTGTTGATTAAATAACAACTGATGACATAACTGCTCTATGAGTTTTTCAATTTTTTCTTTTTTAACATGAATATAATTTCTATTTAACAAGATTTTATATTTGATTGTACCAATTAGAAGAATATTTTATTGTTTAACAAACCACCCATTCTTTTCACCTTGTAAAGCCAAGAGGTTTAGTCTACAGATCTTTAGAAGAAAAGACATTTTGATATTTTTTCTTATAATATTAGATTATAATTAAATTTTGTTCATTTGAGATATTTCATAGAGACTTTGTTAAACTTGCAAAACTGCCTTATTCTTCCTTTTTTTTGAAGAGAGAAAGAAAAAGTGGATTTAGCTTTTTTATTGGTTATTTGCGGGCAAAAACAAGTTGCTTAAATAAAAACAATCTCCAAAACTTAAGGTTTCAAGTTGCTTTTTATTTTATTGTAATGAATAAAGTGATTAGATAAAATTTTATCTGGATAAAATCATTTGAAATGATGCTAATTCTAAATTGCTACTTGCTAATTAAATCACCACTTATATGGAACAGAAGCTGACAAATCTAATCACATTATGTTCTTATAAGAAAATCTTATATCCGTATGTTTATTAGTTCCTGTCTGCTTTTATATATTGTTTGTTTTAAGTCGGCTTAAATTCATTGCACTCATTACATGATATAATCATGTAATACATAATTTGTAATTATTATAAGAATAATTTTGTACAGCACAAAAGTAAAAATCCATTTGCTTATAATTTAGGTTAAGTAGTAGAAAAAAAAAATAGATAGCTAAGAAGTGTAAATTTTCATTATGAAGATCAAATTCCTTGCTACAAATTAACTTACAAGAAAGAAAATTGATTTGATTCAGTGTTTGTAAACTTGATTATTGTTTAATAAGATAAACATATGGAATTATGATTTATCTAACTAATAAAATCTGATAAATATTGATAATATTGTTGAGATTTCCTATGAATTAAAAATATTTTTTGTTATTAAAAAAATAATTCTAAGAAACTGTATGTAAAATATTAAAAAAAAAAAAGAAAGTTTTATTGTCAGTCATTTATAACTTGCAATTATATTTGGATTTAGAAGTCAATTTAGATTGCATTGACTTTGTCCTGTTTTGATTACTAATTTCTGTAAGGTATTGTAATTTGTTACACTATTTACATTGTTTGGATTGTTGACCTCATCATTGTTGCCACATTCATGACATTTTGGCCTTTGCATGCTCTGGCCTCCTTCAGGTGATTGGAATTTCACTTTTATCCACTGGGCCATGTGTCCTTGAGGACAAAAGTGTTGGTTGAATTAATCCAGCAGATAAAAGTGTTGGTTGAAGTAATCCAGTGACTAGACCCAAACAGTTATGATTTCAATACCTATAGTAGAAATGAAAAATAACTTGAGAGTTGAGTTAAAGGGAAATAACTGATACTGAGATATCCAGAAGAGGCATGGCACATGGAACTAGAACAATCTACCTTGGCAGATGAAATAAAAAGTTCAGTGCAAAATTTCATTTGAAGAAGGCCGAAGTGTACAACAGACGAAATGTCATGAATATGGCAACAAAGTTGAGGACAACAGTCCAAACAATGTAAATAATGACTAATTTCTTATTAAATCCATCAACTTTGAATAATTGTCAATTTCATATTATACTTTGTTTCCAGTAAATATATATATATATATATATATATATATATATATATATATATATATTTTTATTAGTTTAGAAATTCTTAAATAATATACACTCCTATTTTATTTTAGTTATCAGGAGAGATATTTAGAAAATGTTTTGGTCTAACAAAGAACAAACTCTACCAAAAATCCTTGTTTGAGTATGAAGATTTTAAAAACTGGAATTAAAGTAACCCTAACATTAAATGTGTTAGTAAATTTGGTGGTGATGTCATATGCATTTTAAGAGTAGTACATACACATTCTTGCCAGTTTTTTTTTTTTAGTTTTTAATATTGATTTTATAGTACAGAAAAAAAAGTCGGGGAGTATTGCAGGGGAGGCAATCTACTTGAAAATGTATTTGAGTTATCCCCCTTTTGAAATCCTGTTTTTTTTTTTTTTTTTTTTTTTTTTTGTTTCAATAAAGATCTGAGGTTAGTATAATGTTATAAAATAATTTTTTATTAAATAATTATTAGCTATAAATTCAATAATCTGTTTGGGTTCCACCCAACTGAACAAATTAATAACTATATGTTTATTTTATTTCTATCGTGTATTATCATTTCAACAATTCTATATTGCTTTTTATACTATTTCTCTTATTTGCTTATACTTATAAGTATTATATATTTAGAATCTCTACATTTATTTATTAATATTAATAATATTTTTGTCTATCCAGATTTTCATTTCTTGCAAAAAATGTTATTGTTTTGGTATATTGCAAAGATTGTTACTCTTTTTTTCTTTTTTTTTTTTTTTTAAATCATGTGAATATACTTAATATTTTTGCTACTGTTTACAAAAGATAATCCAAAGTGATCCATCCTTTCAGTATATCAGTATTTCTTAGGTTATAAATCTTATAATTCTGAGGACTTTTTATTTCTTTCTTTTCAACTGATATTGTAGGAAAGAATAAGATTTGACAGCACCACAGTCAAATCAAGATTCCCAAACTCTAATTAACGAGCCATTTTGTCATGTAGTTTATATAAAAGTCATATTAAATTGGTGCACATTAAAATATGATTTATTACAAAAATAAATCATTTTCAAAGCATATTTACAAAAATAAAAAAGCTTAATAGAACTGCAATTAATTGTTGTTTTGCAAACTGTATGTCACGTAGAGGCATTTTTTGTGATTTTTGGTGATGGAATGCAGTTATTTCCCTTTAATATATTTCAGTATATAGAAAAATTGATAAATACACCTTAAATTTATTACAAATACCATGATTGCAATTTCATAATGTTTTTTTTTTTTTTTTTTTTTTTTTTTGTCAGAATAAATATTTGGCTCAAAATGTAAAAATTTGACTTTTTTTCCCTCTTAGGTCCAAATCATTTGCATGGATTAAATAATTGTTTTGAAATGACTACTTTTTCATCTTTGTAGTTAAAGCATTCAACTGTGAATACTTTATCTAATGAAAAAGATCATCAACCAACAATTTTAATTTGAATATTTTTTCTATGTTATTTTCTGCAGGATATTGACAACTTAATGAATGAAGGTAACAAGTCTAGGACTGTAGCAGCAACAAATATGAATAGTGAGAGCAGCCGCTCACATGCAGTTTTCAATATTATTGTCACTCAGACTCTAGTGGACACTGAATCTATGGTAAGTCTGCATACAGCTTCTTTTTTTCCTTGTTTGTTTATTATTGAAATAAAGTACCTAAAAAAACAATTATTTTTTTTTGAGGTTTAAGTTCAATAAAAAAATATTTTCTTAAAATGAGATACTTTATAAGTGAAATTTTAAAAGAAATATGAAGAGATTTTAGAAAATATAGAAATGTTATTTTTATTATTTATATTTTCAGTATTGTAAATTTATGTATAGATATAATATATAAATAGAACAGAATAGTTGTATTCATCTCTTATTCTGTAAAATTAGATTTTAAACATTTGACTTAGAATCTTAATTATCAAATCAGTTAACAAAAAGATTTTTTAATTTGAATGTATTTGATTTGTGATTTTGGAATTGGCCAGATTGTGCATTGAGAAACTTGGCTGTTGAATGGCCCTACTTACGACATTTTCTTTTGTTATTCTTACTGACTTATATAGATACAGATGAGAAATCTGATAATATTTGGACAATATTTTACCAGGTAGTTTTGTTTCTGTAAAAAGTTCAAAGAATAATCCTTTGGTTCATTTCAATAATCATTATCCAAAGATTTTGACAAAATTATAATCATTCAACCCTTCCAGAAGCTGTTAAGTTCAGTATCCTTTGACTGTTTTCATTATTTATTATTCACTTAATTATATTATTAATCTTCTCAGAATGCCTATTTCAGATTGTTAACTAGAAATTATGAAAAGTAGGTTTTTAAGAATAATACTGTGTAATAAAATTAAAACTCACTCAGTTTTTATGAGACCAAGCATGGTGAGAGAATTAAAACATTTTTAAGATGCATAAATGAGTCTAGAGTTCTGTAAAGATTTGTTTTTCCTTTATAATAATTCAGTGAAAGTTTTTGAAAATTATCAATTATACAAAAACTTGTCTTTCAAAAATAAAAGTTGGTATTCTGTTCTGTTAATTTTGTAAAATTTATTCTTTCATTATAATATAGTTTTATTTATTTTTATTTTTGCCCAAATAAATATTATATTGGCTATGAAATAACATCTAAAATGTGTACTATTTGTTAGTAAATTGTGATATTATTATGGTGTAATATTACTCTAATTTTTATGTTTATTTTATTTTATAATTAGATATTTTATATTTTGATCAGACCAGTCATTATTTTTAAATACTGTCTCCTTTAATAGAATGTTTTATAGTTATTGTTCCATTTTTATAGTTATTGCTGATTTTTTTTTTTTTTTGTCACTTATAGGGACATTCTTTTTGTTCATTTATTGTATAGTTTTAAATCTTATTTCATTTTTCTTAAGCAGAGATGTCTTGAAAAAACATTTAACATTTCATTTCTTTTAGTAAATTCTAAATGAAATGATATGCTGAATTTTTTTCAAGACAGCTTAAGAAAAGTTTTCATAACAAATAAATAAACAATAAATGAACAAAAAAGAATGTGCCTATAACGTCAGTGACAGTAAATGTAGTAAAAAAAAATATTAAAATCTCCAAGATTGTGATATTGATTTATTTTGAACTAAAAAACAAAAAATGCTGGGGAGGATTCAAATTTCAAGTGACTGTTAGTGTTTTGAATTTTCTGCTGTCTATTCTTTGGTCACACAATATGTTCAGAGTTTAAGTATGAACAAGAAAAGCAGATGTTAAAAAAAAAACAAAAAAAAACTTATTCCTATGTGTTCGATCGTCATAAGTATTTGATCTTCCTTAACTGATTTTTTTCCTCTTGCTTCAGCAGATAGTGACTTTTAATTGGAGATTTTCTAATTTTGTCATTGCTTTTATTGAGTCATAATTGATTTGGACATTACCTATTGCTTTACACTTGAATTGAGTTGAAAATTGTATACTTTTTTAAAGCTCTATTTTAACCAATACAAAATTTAATTTAAAGATTTAAAGAAAAAGTTACAATTTTTAATTTTTTAAAAATTTTATATAACTAAAAATAAAAATTCAAAATGTGCATAGAGTTGTGTTCAACAAAGTGACATTGCTTGTGAATAAGTATATTTGATTACTTCGTAAAACCTGGTAAAGAGATTATCTGTATCTCTGCCAAGAAACAGACTATATGTATTATTCTTCCAAAGTGGTTAAAATATAGCATAATCTTTGAAGCCTCTAAGAACATTATTTTAAAAATATTATTCCTTGAATAAAATGTACTATATCTACTCTGATCAAATTTTATTGGTATGTGTTATATAATCCACTCAATAAAAATCTTAATCACTTAATCTACTGTTTTAGGTTTAACTTTTAGGTCATGCAGTGCACTCTTATTTGTCTGATGTAAATAAAGTGCAAGTTTCAGTGTAAACAGTGTTAACAAATCTGTTGTATTCCATGGCCAGTGGCTCACAGTCACATCACGTTGAAATACCAGTTCCTGTATAATCACCTAAGTTAAGCAATATTGAGCCTGGTCAGTACCTAGATGGGTGACCGCTTGGGAATACCAGGTGCCGTAAGCTTGAATATGCAGTTGGTGTAATGGATAATGGCTCGGAATTTTTAATCAGTGAGTTGAGTTCCAAATTCAGTTGGGTTTGTTATATTCACTTACATGCAAATACCATTGGGAAAGGTATGTATCCACCTCTTTTCACCCCAGCTATGGGTCAATTAGCAGGACATGTATCACTAGATCATTATTATCTCAAGAAAAAATTCTTACAATCTAAAAAATATTTTCTGGCTTTAAGTTAACTGGAAAAGGTTGATAGAAAACAAATCACTCAATCAATCCATGGCCAGTATAGTGAGTCTGGTCAGTACTTAGATGGGTGTTTAGGAATACTAGGTGGTGTAAACTTGGATGTGCAGGTGGTGTAATGGATAATGACTCAAAATTGGAAATCAGAGAGCTGAGTTTTAATTCCAGTTGTGTTTGTTATATTCACTTATGCACAAATAACCTTTGGAAAGGTATGAATCCTCCTCTTCTCCCAGCTATGGATTAATTAATAGAACTTCTTTTGGTAAATTATTATCTTCAAACAAATTCTTACAATGTAGAAATATTTTCTGTCTTTAAATAATCTGCAAAAGGTTGATAAGCCATAAAATCATTCAAGCACAATTTGCTATTGAAAAAATTTACTCTGATCCAAACAGTCATCTGAATCTGTAACATAAGGTACTTGCTTGAATGATTTAAAGTTTACAGTGTGTTAATCTCTAAATCTTATGTCACTAAAGCCACTTATGTCAAGGTTATTATTCATTTTGAACATTTTTCAACATTCAAAAAAGAAACATAAAAATTCAAATTCTCTTGAAAAGTATGTAAAAACTGCTAAGAACCAAAATATTTCATTTTTTCATGGGTTAATCCATGACTGGATTTTATTCTTAAATTGAGATTTAGTTATTAAGTCCTTTTAAGTAGGTACCTCCAAAAAATTTGCTGAAAAATGCACAAAACAGTAAAAAGAAAAATGTTATTGTTAAAACCTTTGTGTTGTTAAGATGAAAGATCAAAACACTTTTGATGTAAAAATTACTAATTTTTTTATCATTTTTAGATTCTTCGAAATTTTGGTTAAAAATATTGTTTTTCTGGTGTCAGTGTGGGACCATAGATTTGTATGGGGAAATTTGAGCATCTTTTTACAGTGAAAAACACATTAATTTGTAAATTATTGCAAAAATCAGATAATTGTCAGATTTTGATGAAACTTTAAGGACTTATTTAGTAATTAATAAAATTATTTTTCAAACATTTCTTTCTTTTAGAAAATCTTTGTGTATGCATGTGTGTATATATATATATATATATATTAACACCGCTTATTTAATTTTATAAAATTACAAAAAATTCTATTTTATATTGCTTTATGCTTATATTAGTTATATGGACAAGTCCTTGGAGAATTTAAATCATCAAACTTTATGCTCAAACAGGACCTGCAGTTACCAAAAATAAAATTAAAAAAATGTGATAGAACTAACACATTATCTAATTGGAAAAGCTTTTAATTGCTTTTATGAATAAAATATATTATGGGCACTACTGTCCTAAGAAAAAAAAATGATGAATAATTAATTCTTACAAGTATTGTTTGCAAGTTTAAAAAAATTTAATTACAATAATTTATAAAGTTTTAAATCTTTTAAAATTCTGTAATTAATTTGTAACAGTTAAGAGATATTAAATTTAATTTGTATTCACAAATCATAAGTAAAAAAAGTTCTCTACAATTTAATGATGCCCATATTTTAAAAATAATTTTGAATTTATTTTATGTGTCGATAAATGTGCCAGTTTTTGTAAATATGGATGTCCATACACAACATAAGAGCAGTAGTAAATTAAAAATTTTTTGGTAATTTTCTAACATTTCTTTAACAAGTATCTTCATAAGTAAGGTTATAAAGCCAAAGTATCTAAAATTCAATAAAATATTAGAATGCTTAAAATATTTAACATTTTTAAGATTACTAGATGTTAAAATAATTATATAAAAAAAAGGGTTTACATCATATTCATCGTGTAATTTTATTTTCATTATCTCTTTATTTAAATTTTTCAAACATCAGGCTGCTGCTGCCTCATTTACTAGGTAAAAAGACACCCACCTCCATACTAAAAAATTTTTTTTTGAGATTTTTAAACTGGGTGCAAGTAATTTTGTTTCAATTCAGATTAATTAAACTTTAAATTAGCTAATTTTTCTCAAATGACATTTGAGAAAAGTATATTTTTATTTTTTAAAGATTTTTTTTTTATAAAGAGAATTATGTTGTGTTGTCCGATTTGTCAATATGGACGATTTTATCAAAAGGTTCCAATTAATTCAAATTCAGTTTAAAATACAGCAAAATATTTGCTTATTGGAAATATTAAATTTAATCTGTTAGCTTGGGATTAAAACTAAAAAGCTTTAAGTAAGACATGTCATTTTTAAAAATGCATTTTAAACCTTAGTTATCGTTTTCCTTTTCTTTTTTCTTCTCTTCTTTTTGGAGGTACTTTTAAGTCATTTTTTGCTATTAAAAAAAAAATGTTTTGCACTTTCATGTAGAAAATTTGTTTGGTTATCTGCCCTTTAATCAAGAAAGGTGTTTGAGCTGTCATCAATAACATGTTTCAAATACTGATAACCCATTCATCATTTAGGAGTTACCCTTTTAAGCTTAGTATGATTTCTCTTTGTATGGCAAATATTTTAACATTTCCTTGGCATTTTAATTTGTATCCTAATAAATGTTCAGGTTTTCAAGTAGTCAAGAACTAAAATAATTTGAAAGTTTAAAAAGTTTATCTACAAAATTAATTTTTTTTTAAGATTTACATCATTAGAACATACTATAGTTTTTAAGATGAATTTTCAAATAATTTTCTGCAATGAAGACATTGAACTAACAAAAAAATACCCTTCATTCAAATAAAAATTATTGAAATAAAGATCTTTCACTTTTTTTTTTTATAACAATTGTGGCAGTATTTTTTTTTTTCCAATTTCTGAATGCATGCACTAAGAGCAAAAAAGTCAATATGATAACTAGTTAGAACAAATATGCTCCTATTGTTAGTTACGATTCTCATTCATGTATGATAAAAATTGTTTAAAATATTGATTCATTGATCAATATCTTTAAGTAACTATTTCCTTGTTAATTTCTGTACAGTAGCAAAACAAGTCCTAGATATGGAACAGGAAATGTTGTTTAACTGAATTTCAGCATTGGTTTGCTGAACTGCAATAATTTGATCATTTATTGTAGGTATGATAAAATTCCTATATGCAAGATAACTTAAATAATTTCTTTTCAAAATGCTGTTATATTTGTTTAAAAAAGGATCAAATTTTAGAAAGGTACTTCAAATCTGTGTTTCATATTTGATACTTAAAAAGAAAAATCAATACTTAACGATTTTGACGACTATAAGATATGATCTAAGGGACGGTACTCTTCCCAATACACTAGTGATAATTTTATTCATTTAAATATTTCTGCTGGAAAATATTTATAATAGATATTTTACTTTTTATTAAGTTTTATTATTAAATAAATCTGTTGTTTGATCCTTTCTAATATTAACATTAGGCTGAATTTAGATAAAGAGAAATTTTACTTTGGCTAAATTATTATCCAACTATCGATTCAACTATAAGTATACAGGGTGCAGTGTGTAAATTATCACTATTTTATATTTTTAATTTTGTGCATGCATGTTGTTTTTGATTTTGTTGACTGCACAGTATAGTAGGATCAGTTGGGCACCGTCTGTGAGAAAAAGAGCACTTTGATGCAATTCACTCTGCCAGAAATTTGGAAATAGCATGCTGTACTGCTTGGCATGTCTACCAAAAGCTCCAATACAATACATTTCAGAGTGTTTGGGTGTCAATCTGAGGACAGTACAGAGGATTTGGAAAGAGTCGGATGAGTCTAATGGTGATTATCAAGGTACAACAACTTGGAAAATTCACTCTAATTGTTCTGATAAGAAAAGAACTCTTGAATTTGTTGGTGAGGGCCTTGGACTCAACACAGAAACCTACATTAAATGCCTTGAGGAAGTAGTACTGCCCTGGGTCAAGAGGGTGCCTGCTGGAAGACCCTATGTCTGGTAACAGGACACTGCACCATGCCACACAAGCAGGAGAACCCACTCATGACTGTCAGACAATTTCTGCAACTACATCACCCCTTACATCTGGCCACTTAAGACCCTAGACTGCAATCCCCTTGATTATTATGTATGGGGTATAGTTGAATGAGAGACCAACAAAACTCCTTGTAACACTAAAGATGAACTGAAGGCAAAGATTATGGCAGTATTCACAAACTTAAACAAAGAGACTGCCAGAAGAGTTGCAAGAGATTCTGAAGTCATCTGAAGGCTGTGGTTGAAGCCAATTGTGATTTTATTTGATAAATTTACTCTTTAGTATTTCAAAATATCTTTGTGTAATTTTGATAAATTTATAATGAGATGTCAGTGTTATTTTTATTTTTGTGTAATTTAGCTGACAATTTATGCATCACATATTGGAATTGCTTTGAAACATTTTATTCAAACACATTCTGTTACTAGATCAATTGTGATTTGGAATTCTTTTCATTTAACTGTTTATACTCAGGATTTCCTTCAATGAATGAGCAGATTGAATGTCTATCAATTCAAGCTGTAATTCATCAGGTGCTGCATCAACATCAGCAGAGAAAGGAGAAGTTAATCAGTTGAATTTAAGCTCAATCTGTCTGAAATCCTTCTTTCAAACTCTTCAGTCAAACTTCTCAACTGGTCCTTAATTTTTGAGCATACATTTGCAGGAATTTTTTCCTTTCCCAACAATGAAAAATGGGTGAACTTGCCCTCACTTGCTTGCCTTGAAAACAAAGATAATTTTGCTTGAAAAGATTTGACATTTCATGAGTTAAAAGTTCCTTTCTCTGCAATTTCACATTTAGCTCATTCAAATTTTCAAAAACATCAGCTGCTAACATGTTCATATTTC